ACTTCCTCAGTTGACCAAAGGAGAACCTAGATTGAAATCATGGTCCAGATATTGTACACATTGTTAGGCGTTGGCTTGGATGGTGATTAGGATGTGCCTGAGATGGGTGGGGAAGATTGAGGTAAGGTAGCCAGTGATGAGTGCTGCTGTTGGCATTCCAGGCATGCTTGCCACGTATAAACACGTGTGGCTGTCAGCTAAGCCAAATTCACAAAGTACTACCTTGCAACTGGTCCCTTTTGCTCAAGTAAGAAGCAGTTTATGCTACAGAAAGATATTCTATGAAAGATTTATCTGCTAGATAAAGTTCTATCCAGGGTTGAAGGCACTAAAAGTGGTCTTTAAGAAACAACAACATGTTTTCCCTTGGTCTGTTCTGTGGGTGCACTGCTTTCACCAGTTCAATAGTATAAGCTTGGACTTGTCTGCCCTCTAGTGGACAGATGTTAATTTAACTAGTTTCTTCTGTCAAAACAAAAGGGGTGGTATTTTTAGGAAAAGGTACCTAATTTTTCTTGATTGGCTTTCTGAATTTTAGCCTCTGTCCGTTTACAGAATTTGTTACTGCCACCAAAGCAACATATTTATAATTTCATTCTATTTTCTAAGATGCTGGTAAATACCTTCCCTAGTTTCTCCATAGAATCAGGTCCAACCTCCTGTCATTCCAGACCTCTGGCCCCTACAACTTACCTTTGTAGCTTGCCTCAAGGCAAGCCTTGGGTTTCAACTCAGCTAATCCAGCTCACTGCAACCCCAATGTGTCAAGTGTATTTCTGCTGTTCTTCCCTTTTGCTTATGTCTCAAATGCCCTGTTGATCTGTCTCTTCAGATTTTACTCTTTCCTTCAAGTCTAGACTTAAAGCCCGTTGTTCCTGTGAACACTGAATACAGTAAACACAGTGATAATTCTCTTCTGAATTCCTGTGACATGTACTTCTTGTACCATTCATTTACATTGTATTTTTTATATCAACTTTTCAAATTTAACAACCTTATCTCCGCAGGCAGATAAATCCCTTGAATATGGTACTGTCTCACACTTCTTTGTGTCCCTTATGGACTCTAGCAGCTCTCAGTGAATATATTGATTATTTGCTCTTCAAAGATATCCATATCCTGACTGTCTCTTCTCTGCTGAAAGCTAATCGTCTAGATTTAAATATGAATATTAACATAATAGCAATTTATTTCTCCCTAATGAAAACCCTGTCTTAGCAACGTACCTATGCTTTAAATATTCTAATTTTTTAAATCAGAGACATTAACTGTATTTCTCTGCTCATTAGTTTGAAAATGATTTTAGAAACCTTGAGAAGATCATGCTATTAGTTTAGTAGTATTTGACAGTAATCAATGTAGCTTCATTGCCTTTCTGCCTGTGTTGTTTGGCCTTATTTCTGAATAACATTTCAGTTTGTAACCTTGGTTGGTCCTAACCTAATTCTTTATATCCATGAACTAATTAGAGTGTTTAATATTAAAAGAAATATCAAAAACTGATTTTATTTAGCCTCCCCCAGATGTCATCAGTATATTTTACAGTTTAAATTCTAAGCTAAGCTATTGCGGTATAATTAGCAGGACAAACAAACAGGAGAATGGATGATCCAGGCAAAAAAGGGCATACAGGCACCATCCCCAGGGTGAAGCTAAGGTCAGAGTAAAGAGTTTTAAACAAAAGTTTAGAGAACAGAAAAGATGTGGCTACAGGTAGAGGTGATATTCAAAATATTTAACAACCAGTATGGCACAGAATAGATGACAGCAGGACCTGGAGGTTCTCTGCTATGCCAGGCATTACCTTGATGACAAGGTGGGATCATGAAACATTCGGAGGGACTCTAGGCAGCCACTATTTACAACCAGTATGGACATATTTCCTGACTGAACTTAGGACACCTGGATATGTCCATTTTGAGGGCTCAGGTTACAATGAAGGAAATGGACCAAGCATGGGGTGTTCAAAGAATGACGTCTGGAATTTCATTTGAGCAGAAGGGAACAGAATCTGGACAGGGAGGTGGCTCAAGGATAGGGTCTTAGGATTGGGCCCCTATCAGTGTACCTGGAATAGTCCTTTAATACAAGAGGAGTAGCTTGCTGTGGCAGAAAGTGTATTCAAACTTACCAGGCAGAATCCTGGTTCTGCTGCTTACTTTTTGGTTACTTTGAGCAAATTATATCACTTCCATAAGGCAGTTTCTAAAGCTGAAAATTAAGGCTCTAATCATACCTTCTCTGCATTCATCCCAAGATGGTTCAAATGCAATAATAGTCATGAAAAGACTTTAAATTAGGAGAACCAGAGAATGGCACAGAGGCGGAGTCTTCTCATTATCTTATGATGAGCGCTGCTTGCTCTCTGCCCCAACTTTAAACACTCATCTTGAATTGACAAACCAAGGATATGACCAATAATTTAATGCAGATGAGGTATGTGATATAGTGAAATTAGTCTAAGGCTTATTCCTAGTTTTGCCACTTACTGGTTATGATACCTTGGGTACACAACCCAAACCAAACCCACTGCCGTCGAGTCAATTCCAGCTCATAGCCACTCTATAGAACAGAACAGAACTGCCCCATAAAGTTTCCAAAACTGTAAATCTTTATGGAAGCAGATTACCACATCTTTCTCCAGTGGAGTCACTGGTGGTTTCAAACTGCTGACCTTTCAGTTAGCAGCCAAGTGCTTTAATCACTATGCCAGCAGTGCTCCCCTTTGGACAGTACTCGTTAATTCATCTAACATCTACTGAGTGTCTTCTGTATGCCTGGCACTATGCAAACATAGTCCTGTCCTTACAGAGTTTACAGTCTAGGAAGGGAGATAATAGGTCTTTTTGGAGAGCTGAGTTCCCACCATCACATTGCTCTCCCTGGTACCTAGCATGGTTACCTTGAAGGGGTTCTATTTATATGTACCCTGCCTGGTCTTTTTGATGTTGTTTCCCCAAACCTTTAAGAAAACCGTTTTCAATCTTAACTGCTTGTCAGTTCCCAATGGCGTTTCTAAATGTACAGATTCCTGGGCCCCACCATGTGATGTGCCGGTAAATAATTTAAAAACTTGTTCTTAGGTGGGGTGAAGGTAGGGGATTCTGATTTGTAGCGTTTGCTGATTTCCCTGGAAAAATACTCCCACCATGGCCAATTTCAAGCTACCGATCTGAGTCTCACAAAATTTCTAAAAATTTAACAATTGGCTCTTGTGAGCCTCTGCTGGTCAGCTTCAGCACACCTTTGGCCCTACCTCGGAGCTAAAGAATAAAAATCTGTAGGCATGAGGACAGAAGATTTTTGTTACTAAAAAAGTTCTGGAAGAGACCCAGCGTTAAGAACCAGTGACTTGGCGAGGTTTCTATATTGTCATATCTGAACTTGTTAGGTGTGACAGGTTCAGAACACAATAAAACTTGTTGCTATTTAAAACCAAATAGCCTCAAGGAGCTGGATCTCTAGTGATAGAAAAGACCAAATAACAACTCCAAAATTATCACAGGTAAGTGAGTTAAGGTACACATGTTAAATAATTTTTAAATGGAATAAGGATTGTAGACAAAAGACATCCAGTGACAGCTCCACACCCAGAGCTCAGGTTTTCTGTTGGGCATTGACTCTACTGCTATGCCTCTTAAATGAGCAATTGGCCATGGACTTGGTGTTCTTGAGAAACAAAGTTATTTCAGCAAAATTCAAATCAATCTGGCTTCCTCATCACTGAGGAAGTAGCTCATTGACCATCCCAACTGTGATTCATACATATTTGTATTTTAAATGAGTTTAAAGGAAACACTTGAAAAATAGTGGGTGTCTCATGGAGGTTTTCTATTGCTTTGAAATCACAGTCAAGGAAGTTCGTTTATTTAGGGCTTCTTAAACCCTGGCATATTGGGAGCATGGTATAACTTTGGTTTTGTTTATAAATATTGTACAATACTCTGGCTTCCTTATTTTACATTAATGCATGTTATATCTCTATAAAATATGACTAGGGTGAATCTCTGTTATTATTTTGGCTTCCTGAGCCCAGCTAATACTATGCATCTCAATCTAAATTAGAATTTAAAACAATATCAGAGTGTATTGTAACTGCTAATTTGGTAGGATCTGAGCCTATTCCAAACCAGCCTTCCAGTTGGTATGAGTGCTGAGGTTATTTGCTTTGGTCCTGAACTGTACTGTATGTCTGCACTGCACATTTAACAGGTTCTTTCTGGTCCCCAGCCTTCCAAATGAGAAGTACACTTCCCTATAGACACTAGCCTATAAAATTTTCGGTATGGCCTTCAGTTCATCTTGCACTGACCTAAGAGTCACTTTCTTTGCCTCCTGGATATCTCTGTAGCTAGCCTTTGGAAATTCTACTCCTATCATTTTTTCTGTTCTGTTCATTTGCCTGTATAATCAGTAGCTAGTCATCAGCATTGGTAGGATTGATTAAAGATGGCTGAAAATTCTTTGCTACTTCTTTCACTGAAAGGTGGAATCCAGTTCTCCCCTCTCAAATCTTTAGTCCAGCATTAGAGGATGGTAGAAATGACACTATGCAAGCTCTGAGCCTAGCCTTTAGGAAGACTAGCAACTTCCACTTTGTCCTTTTAGAGCCCTGAGCCACAGCGTAAGAAGACCAACCCTTAAGCTACCATGCTTTGAGGAGTCCCAAGCATATGTAGAGATCATATGTAGGTACTCCAGCTGACATTTCCAGCCAAGCTCAGCTTTCTAGCCATCAAGTCAACACATCAGATATGAAGTTTCTCGGACCCTGCAAACCAACCCATCTGCTAATTGAATACCACTGAGTGACCTACAGTGATACCGTGTGGAACAGCAGAATCATCCAGCTAAGCCCTGCTTGAATTCCTGACCCACAGAATCATGAAATGTAATAAACTAGTAGTTTTTTTAATGAAGCAATAAATAACCCAAACAGCTGGCTCTATCCCCAACTTCTATGTCTCTTTTTCTAGGAGAAGAGCTAAGACTTCTCTTACCAGTAGCCAAGTGCCAGGAATGGTGAAAGCCCTTACATCCTCCTTGAGCTTGTGTACTTTACATCTGCTTTTTCTAAAAGCCGGAAGCACAGCATTATCTCTTCTGGTTTCAAAGATCACACCCACTCTTAGAAAGACTACTAGATTCCTTTTTCCTGTCTGACAGACACCTCCCACTATTAGTTTATTTCCAAGGGCAGAGATGATTGATGGATAATCTGAAATCCAGTTAATGGATGATCCATACCATCTTTCCTAACCATACGACTGTTATCTGAAGATTCCTACCATTATATACTCGTAACATCAATATCACTTGATAGTTTTAATGCCCTACACCTATACCTATGCTCCAGCAATCTACACTGCTCTCTGTTCCCCAAACGTATCAGACTCTTTCTCACTTCTCTGCCTTTCTCTGCCAGCCCTTCTGCCTGAAATACTTTCTCTTTTCATCTGATAAAAGCCCTCTAGTTCAAGCCCAGCCCAAAATTTAACTTCTGTGAAGTATTTCCCAACCCCACAGTTAGTCACTTCCTCCTCTGTTGCTTCTGTGTATCATTTTATACATCCCTCTTGTTAGTTACTGTCACCCTATGTATAACAGAATGTAATGTTGCCCTGTCTTGTGCCATCTTCATGATTGTTGGTATGTTTGAGTCTATTGTTGTGACTGTTGTGTCAATCCAGCTCCTTAAGGGTTTCCCTTATTTTCACTGACCCTCTAATTTACCAAGCATGATGTTCTTTTCTAGCAATTGGTCTTTCCTGATAACATCCTCGCTTCTAAGAAGCATTCTGGTTGTATTTCTTCTAAGATTATTTTGTTCCTTTTTTTGGCAGTCCACAGTATATTCAGTATTCTTTGCCAACACCACAATTCAAATGCATCAATTCTTCTTCTGTCTTCCTTTTTCATTATCTAGCTTTTGCGCGCATAAAATTAAATGCACATCTAGGGTCTCTACCTATATTGTTCCTAGGTTGAATTTTTCTTAAGAACATCAATAAGTAATTATACTCTTTAAATAAAGACTATTTAACAATAGGACTCTGGAAATTAGAATATAGAAAAGCCAACAAACGTGTGTTTAGTAATTTAACTAATTAGCACTTCTCCTTTGATCAAAAGGGGGAAAATGTGGAACAGAACATCCCATTTTTACAGAATCCAGACTTACCGGACCTATTGAGACTGGAGGAACCTTCCAGTCTATCGCTCTGCAAAAATCTTCAAATCATGAACCTAAATTATCCCGAAGTCATCTTTAAACTAAACAATTGTTTAGCTAAATTAGCAAAGAAAGGTCGCCATGAACATTGCACTGTTTTGAATAATTATCTATATAATATCAAATTGTCAACAGTAACTCTAAGGCATAGATGAGAAGTTTGGGAGGTACTGAGTCTAAGTCAGTGGCGGTAGAACAATATGGGTAGAGATAGTGAGAATGGCGACACAACGTGAAGAATGTAACCAGTGTTACTGAATTGTACATGTAGAAATTGATGAATGAGTGTATGTTCTGCTGTGTATATTTTCACAAAAACTAAAATTAAAAAAAAAACTATTTAATGATAGGACTCTGTAAATTAGAATATTAAAAAGCCAACAAACATTTATTTAGTAATTTAATTAATTAGCTTTCCTCTGTTGTTTTTTGTCAAAACTTATTGAATGGTGTACTTAAGATTTGTGCATTTCATCATATATAAACTTTACCTTAAAAGAGAAAAAGAACTATAAGGAAATACTGGATTCTAAATAATTATAGTGCATGTAAGGGCAAGTGTCCTGATGTCTGTACCAAAAACAACTGGTTAATGTTCAGCCATTTCAGGAGATAGCATATGATCAATAACTAATGGTACTGAAGGAAGAAGTTCAAGCAGCAGTGAAGGCATTGGTAAAAAACAAGGTTCCAGGAATTGACAGAATACCAGTTGAGATGCTTGAACAAACAGATGCAACACTGGAAACCCTTCCTCATCTATGTCAAGAAATTTGGAAGACAGCTACCTAGCTAACCGACTGGAAGAGATCCATACCTGTGCCCACTCCAAAGAAGGACAATCAGATGGAATGAAGAAATTATCAAGCAATATCATTAATACCACATGCTAGTAAAATTTTACTGAAGGTGACACAACTGCAGCCATATGTCAACAGGAAACTGCCTGAAGTTCAAGCTGGATTCAGAAGATGACTTGGAACAAAGGATATCGTGACAGATATCAAATGTTGGCCGAAAGCAAAGAATACCAAAAAGATGTGTACCTTTGTTTTATTGACTAGGCAAAGACATTTGACTGTGTGGATCAGAACAAATTATGGATAACATTGCGAAGAATGGGAATTCCAGAACATTTCATTCTGCTCATATGGAACCTGTAAATGGATCAAGAGGCAGTCGTTCAAATAGAACAAGGAGATACTTCATGGTTTAAAATTGGAAAAGGTTTGCAGCAGTCTTGTATCCTTTCACCTTACTTGTTCAGTCTGTATGCCGAACACCTAATCTGTGAAGCTGGACTGTATGAAGAATACAGCGTCAAGATTAGAGGAAGACTCGTTAACAACCTGTGATATGCAGATGACACAACTTTGCTTGACAAAAATGAAGACAACTTGAGGCACTTAACTGACAAAGGTCAAAGACTACAGCCTTCATTGTGAATTACTCCTAAACATGAAGAAAATGAAAATCCTCCTTGGACACTCTTTTAACTCAGTACTGAAGTCACTCCTGAGGTTCACCCTTCAGCCAAAGACTAGATAGGTCTATAGGGCCAACAATAACACACGTGAGGGACGTGCTTCCTAGTTCAATCATGTATATGAGACTAATGGGTACACCAGCCCAGAAGCAAAGACGAGAAGGCAGGAAGGGACAAGCAAACTGAAAGAATGAAAACAGGGAACCTGGGGTGGAGAAGGGGAGAGTGTTGACACATCACAGGGTTGGCGGTCAGTGTTGCAAAACAATTTGTATATTGACTATCTAGTAAGAAACTGATTTGCTCTGTAAACTTTCACCTAAATCACAATAAAAAATAATTTAAAAAAAGAAACTGAAAATCCTCACAACTGGACTGATAAACAACGTGATAAATGGAGAAAGAACTAATGTTGTTAAGGATTTCATTTTACTTGGATCGACAATCAGTGTTCATGGAAGCAGCAGTCAAGAAATCAAACAATGTATTGCATTGGCCAAATCTGCTGCAAAAGACCTCTTTAAAGGTTTAAAAAGCAAAGATGTCAAGCCGTGGTCTTTTCAATCACCTCATATGCATGTGAAAACTGGACAATGAAAAAAAAGACAGAAGAATTGATGCATTTGAATTGTGGTGTTAACAAAGAATATTGAATATACAATGGACTTCCAAAACAGTGAACAAATCAGACTTAGAAGAAATGCAACCAGAATGCTCCTTAGAGACAAGAATGTTGAGACTTCTGCTCGCTTACTTCACTTACTTTGGATAAAACCAATTGCTAGAAAGGGACATCATGTTTGGTAAAGTAGAGGGTCAGTGAAAACAAGGGATACCCTTAAGGAGATGGATTGACACAGTAGTCACAATTGACTTAAACATACCAATAATCATAAAGATGGCGCAGGATTAGGCAATGTTTCATTCTGTTATACATAAGGTCACCATGAGTCAGAGCCTACTCGAAAGGCAACTAAGAACAACATTATCTTATGTATCACTAAGAAAAAATAAATATTGCAATTAAATTTGATTCAATGCTTTTTTATCACATTCACATTGATTGTAGATTTATCCTAAGTTACATGTGTGTTAGAATCAGTGAAAAATATGGTATCGTCAACCTTCTGAGTTTATAAAGAATAAGTGTACTTAATAATGTACTTTAAGTGTTTAGCACAGTGCCTAGCACAATGTAAGTACTACTCAATAAGTGGTAGTAGCAATTATGTTGATGGGGATAATGATTTGATCCTGAGCACTCTGTGAAGTGGTACTTATTGTTTAGGTTGTTCTTTGGGGATCAGAATTATTAATAGGTCATCCTGATAAAATTTATTGGTGGTAGTCAGAATGCTTACTCATTTTGAATTTGAAGTAGCATAGCAGTAACATAACATAATAATTTCAGTTTGCTTTCAGAGGTAATTCTTTTAATGATTAGCACTTTGTTATCATAAAATTTGTTTGTAGACTGTTGTTGATATTTCCTCCAGGAGTAAGTTCTGTTGATACATGTCAACCTCCTGGGTTGGTTGAAGTCACTTTTTATGAAGTGAATTTAGTTCAAGTGAGTAACATAAATGAGATATTACCACATGTAAAATTTAGTAAAATTGCATTGTTGATATTGCAGTACGAGACCTCAGATTTTAAATTGTTTTTTTTTTTTCTCTCTCTCTCTCTCTCGTCTATATAGGAGGCAGACAGTGGGGAGGAAGAATGCCGGTCACAGCCCAGGAGGTATGTTTCTTCATTATGTTCTATAGCATTTCTATAGTTAATGTTTTTTCTCTAATTCTTTTTGAGTCTTGTCAGGTTAACTTAACCTTGGTTTTCCAAGATTCTCCAGTGGTCTCTCAAAAATGAGATTGTTTTAAGAAGACAATTACTGACTCAGAGATTTAAAATGGTAGACAGTTGCTGTTGAGTCAATTCCAATTCATGGCAACTCCATGTGTGTTATAGTAGAACAGTGCTCCATAGGGTTGTCAATGGCTGATGGTAGATCACCAGGCCTTTCTTCCAAGGTGCCCCTGGGTAGATTCAAACTGCCAACCTTTCGATTTAAAATGGTAGATTACTTTAAAAAGATGCAGAAGGGCCAATTTGGCCCAGTTTTGACCCAGGTCAGGAACTATCTTGGGTAATAAGCAAATTTTCCTTCCTTTTAGGAAAATATCAACTGAAGAGCAGTTTAGCCTTCAGTTTTGTACTTAGGTTTGTCCTTCAGTTTGATATGGTTTTTTCAAAGCAACTTCCTTCCCACAATAAACAGTTCCAGTAAGTTCTAGATAGTCATTTAAATGTTATCAAACTTCTGTCCTGTGAACCCAATAAAATCAGCTATTCTGGATGATACAGAGAAAGGATACAAAAAGCATGCTAACTGTGGAGAAGCTGGCTAAATGGAATACTTCCTTAATGATTATCAAGTATTTGTTGATGGTATGTTGTTGTTGTTAGTGGCCATCAAGTTGATTCCAGCTCGTGGTGACCTCATGTGTGCAGAGTAGAACTGCTCCGTGAGGTTTTCAAGGCTGTGACCTTTTGGAAGCTCAACACCTGATTCACCTCTGGGTAGGTTTAAACTGCCAACCTTTCAGCAAGTAGTTGAGCGCTTAATCCTTTGCACCACCCAGGGACTCCTATTGATGTATAAACCTATTGCCGTCAAGTCAATTCTGACTCATAGTGACCCTATAGGACAGAGTAGAACTGCCCCATAAGGTTTCCAACAAGCAGCTGGTGGATTCAAACTGACGACCTTTTGGTTAGCAGCCGAACTCTTAACGACTAGGCCACCGG